TCATTGTCGTATGAGTATAGTTCCTGGTCGACTATTGCTGGACCTGTTTTGATCTTGGCTATTGGTATTATCTTGAATTTGTTCTTATTTGTCCTGATTTTCCATTTTTTTCTGAAAGTCATTGATGTTTTTTATCGCTGTTGTCGTGTAGCGTGCCTTAAATTGGTTTGATTTTCCTGGGTATGATATTATTTGAGTGATATCATCAGCAAACATTACATATTCGCTAAAGGGGGTTGGTTGAGGTATGTCTGAGGTATATATCGTATATAGTGTTGGAGAAAGGCATCTTCCTTGAGGTACTCCACTCTCGAGATTAAATGTAGTTCCCATAAAGTTTCCAATTTGAATTTGTGCTCTCCTATTTTCAAATTAGTCACACAATATTCTTAGCAAGTGTTCTTTAAGTCCCAATTTTAAAATTTAATATTTTAAGCCCAAATGCCAAAGTTTATCAAAAGTCTTAAAAATGTCCCTTAAGATTATATTGATTTGGTTCCCTTGCTTTTTTCTATTACCTTTATTTCCGGGGAGGTAGGCTACGGGTCTCCCTGGCGTGTGGGAGGTATTTCTTCGAGATATTACCTCTGACGTCCAAATCGGTTCTCAGTAGACCCACGGTTTGAATTTAACTGCCAATCTGGCGATTGTGGGATAATGAGACCTGTCACGTTGAACACGGTTATTTTTTAATAAGTCAAAACATGCAAAGTACAAAATTACATATGAGTTGATTAAATCACTCGTATAAGAACAAAAGAACATAAGAAAATAAGGAGTCTGCAATAGGCCGGTTGGCCTGTGCATGGCAGCTCCTGTCGAGAGTTACTACCACTCTCTATCATCCATGAATCTATCTAGCCTCCTTTTGAAACTTTTCAGAGTTCCCGCACTTACTACAAAGTTGCTAAGCTTGTTCCACTCGTCCACCACCCTATTTGTGAACCAGTTTCTTCCTATCTCCCTCCTAAACCTAAACTTATCCAACTTGAATCCGTTGCTCCGAGTCTTATCCTGCTCGGATATTATAAAATCTTTATCTATATCCCCTTTATTGATTCCTTTCACCCACTTAAATACTTCTATCATATCTCCCCGCACTCTTCGTCTTTCTAGGGAATGCAAGTTAAGTTTCTTTAACCTATCCTGATATGGAAGGTTTCTAAGTCCCGGAATAATTTTTGTCATTCTTAGCTGCACCGACTCTAGTGAATTTATATCCATTCTATAATTGGGGCACCAGAACTGAACCGCATAATCGAGGTGCGGCCTGACTAGCGAAAGGTATAGTTGCAATAAGACCTCTGCACTCTTGTTACTTACACTTCTAGATATAAAACCCAATACTCTGTTTGCCTAATTTCGAACATTAACGCACTGTTTTCTAGGCCGTAGGTCCGGGCTTACAAGTACCCCTCGGTCTCTTTCACAAGTCGACTTCTCTAGGTTGATGTTGTTAAGGCTGTATACATTATAAGTATTTGTTCTTCCAATATTAAGTACGCTGCACTTGCTGGTGTTGAATTTCATTTGCCATTTCTCAGACCACCCCTGCAGTTTATTTAGATCCTCCTGTAATGCATTTGCATCCTGCCCTGAATTAATTTGCCGCCCTATTTTGGTGTCATCCGCAAACTTGCTTATGTCACTGCTGATCCCAGTATCTAGATCGTTTATGTAGATTATGAACAAGAGTGGGCCTAGTACTGACCCCTGGGGAACCCCACTGGTTACACGGCCCCACTCAGATTTAACACCATCTACGCTGACCCTCTGCGTTCTATCGGTGAGCCATGATTTTATCCAATTTAAAACTTTCCTCGATACCATGAGCCTTAATTTTTCTCAGAAGCCTCTGATGCGGTACTCTGTCAAATGCTTTGCTAAAGTCTAAGTAAATAACATCGTAATTTTCGTCATTATCTACTACCTCGAAGACTTTCCTAAAAAACGTTTGCAGATTTGTTAGACAAGATTTTCCCTTTGTAAACCCATGTTGAGAGTCGTAGATTAATATGCTTTTCTCTAGATGAGATCGGATGCTATCTGCTATAATTGATTCAAGAAATTTCCCCACTACTGACGTCAAACTGATCGGCCGGTAATTTGACGCTGATGCTCTGTCTCCCGTTTTGAATATGGGTACTACATTTGCCTGTTTCCACAAGTCTGGCACAACTCCCATGTCTAATGATTTTGTAAATAAGTTTACGAGGGGTCCGCTAATCTGTTCCCTACACTCTTTCAAGACTCGAGGGAAAATTTCATCCGGCCCTGGGGATTTTGTTTTCTTTAGTTTATTTATCTTCTTAAGAACATCCACTTTTCTGATAGTGATATTCTTTAATTTCTCTTCTTCCTTTCCCTTATATATCAATTCCACCTCTGGAATTGATAATTATCAACAACTACATAGGATATCCATTAGTGCAGAGTGGGGTGTTAAGCAAATCATATAACATAATATAATACTAATGTTCAGCACACAGACTTACGTGTTGCGGGTGCACGGTAGCATTGTTCCCTGTAAGGCTTGAGAGTGTATTCTGAACCCCATAGCGGAGAGAGGTAGCCAGCCACAGGACGCTATCTGTTTCTCATTTAACACCTCAGCAAAGTTCGCTGTAAACACTTCCGATGTTGCCCGGGAAGATAATTCATTATTGTCGTTATTGGAGACGTCAAAAGGAAACAAAGTGTTCAATTTTCAATTTTCAAATAATACTTTATTGAACAGATCAACTGAAATTTGCGGATATATATATATATATATATATATATATATATATATATATATATATATATATATATATATGCAAGTAAATCACTGTAGGTGCGCGTGATAAGAAGCAAGTAATTCACATCTTCAGGGGTGAGTACAGTCTGTACTCACCCTTTGAAGGTGTGAATTACACGAAAGCGCTTGGGAACTTGGTGTTTTCTTCTTTCCTTGTCGTTATCAGCATATATATATATATATATATATATATATATATATATATATATATATATATATATATATATATATATATATATATATATATATATATATATATATATATATATATATATGAGGTAGGCCTTGAGGCGTCATACCGGCTCACTAGTTAGGCTCATCCGGTCGTTTGGGACGAGCTGTGTGCAATGCTCTTGATTGAGTTCTCGCGTCTGCGACTCGTGTGTGGGAGTCAGTTCACCACAATTGCAATGTGTAAATTCATATTAAATCAAGTGATCCAATCTTTTAGTAAAACCAGAGCGTGAGTAGTGCCATGCCTTCCCTGCTTCTTGGTAAGATTTGGCTGGAGGAGGACGATATATTACAATGTTTGTTGTGGTGTGAGGGAGCCTGGACACGGTCGTGTGTGTTACCGCCTCGCCTCGCCTGTCTTACCCTCTCCTATACACCTCAATTGTATGAATGCACTGTCCAGTGTGCCTAACATTCCATTTACACAAATTATTGATGGCTTGTGTATTCTTCTAGTAAGCATAGAGGTTGTACGTGTATATGCTTCATAAAGAGATTTACAGAGAGTTGTGGTGTTGGTGGTGGGAGGGAGGTCACAGGTGTGTGGGTGCATACCCACCCACCCACCCACCAACACCGCACTGTTGTTTATTAAGTATTCAATTTGTCAAAAAGTGCATGAGGCTAAGCAGCCCATTTTATTCTTTTGAACTGATGTAATAATGCATAAATGGAAATGGGTCTTGTATGTATGGAATATAAATATTACATTGGCACGTGTTAAATAACCAACTGTCCTCCATAGAAACCAGACACATTAGAAGGGGGTAACCCCAAACTAACTGCTGGACAATTCTGACCTTATGACCATGGTCCACAAGGTTCAATATTATTAATATGCTAAACGCGACATGCTCTCAAGGTTGGCTACAGCTTAGCCACACACACACACACACACACACATAGTAGATATGAGATAAATGTGTTTTGATAAAATGTGATCGAAAACACAGGGAACATATTTTCATCGTATTACTTTATGCGGGAAATCTGAGTTGAGAGAGTGAAAGGCTTCACTAGGGAGGAAAGGATGAGTGAAAGATGACAGGGAGAATATAATAGCAGTGGTAGTATTAGTGAGAGAGGGAGGGGAAAGAGCAAGAAAAGAGGTTAGGTGAAAGAGGAGGTGAGATATGGTGGTAATTCATTCACATACTCACAAGACAAATGCTCACAATGCAAATACTCACAACATTAATGGAAAGGAAGTCAAATGTTAGGTTAGGTTAGGTTCGTCTTGTGAGCAAATGTCATGGAACTCATGTACCCTGTAGGTATATTCATGCAATTCTACCAACTAATCAGAGACTAAACATGTTAAACATAAATCAAGATGATAGTTGTATAAGATGTGATGAGGTACAATATCCATTACTGTACATTTATTTTACATCTGCTTCCATAACAAAGAGATAATTGAATGGTTTAAAAATATCCTGAATATGGTACAATGCAATGTTAATAGCAAATTATTTATGTAGTTTTTAATGTTTAATATTAACTGTAGTACTAATAAGGATAAGAGTACAATGATCATGCTCATGGCAGATTTTACCCTTTATTAAAAACAGGATATGTTATAATATATGGGTGATCAAGAGTATAGTATTTAAAAACAAAAATAATCCATATATTTCACACACAAATATATTAATACATAATTTCCATTTACATATGTAAATTGTAAAATTAAAAAAATATATAAATATTAATTAAGGCATATGTACAGTACTTGTTTCTGCCAGTATTAGGATTAACTCATTGTCAGTGGGAAATACCTGCTTGCAGGGATTTTCACATAAACTTTTAGGAAAACATATCCATTTTGCCACTAATGCAAGTGGCATATGTATTCTGAGGAAGCATCAAAGAAACAATCCTTATATTTTCCTTACATTAGGTTAAGGGAGTTGTCAGCAGTGATTCATCATTCCACCCACAGCTTAATATTGCCTGTCTTACATTACAGGATCAAACCAGCCACTCATAGTGTGTGGGTAGCTCATTTCAATGCTGCTGAGAATTACTAAATTTTCTCATAGTTGTGTTAGGCTTTTCTTACATTACCTAAGATCGGTAAATGCTACTCTGACATCTTCACCAAAGCAAACATGAAAAAAAAATCATTGTATCCTTGTATTGAAGTCAAATTATATTTATGTATATAAATACTGTAGTCAAATTATTTTTGTAAGATGAGCTATTTCTATATTCATCAAATATATAATGAAGCATCTGAATATGAAACAGGATATGGTTAAATGATTATTCCTTTGTATATCTATATATTTATTCTAAACTGATGGTTATATATGAAATTAAATTTTACATAACAAAATAACAAAACATATTTACAACTCACTACATGGAAATGAACCAAGAAAGAATTTACATATCTAAAAAATAAAAATAAAAACAATGTAAAAATAAGCTCAATATTACATACCTGTCAATGACAACAAAAGAAAAACAGAACTTGCATGTAAATGATTACATTAAAAGAATCTATTTACAATACCTTAAGTCTCTGCTGGTGCTATTAACCTTTTGCTAGCGCACTTAAATCATCTGCCTTAGCTAAGACCATATATACTGTACAAAGCAATTTAAGTGCACTAGAGGCTGGGATCTTGGAAACTTAACTTAAGTCCATCTCCGTTAGCTGAAACTCTCCAAGGTCCGGAATTGAAATTAGCTCGGATTTCTCAGAGGCTTATTTTCTGAAAATTCCAGAAACTCGCTCCATTTTTTCCTGGTCTGTGAGCAGATTCTAAGGATGAAATAATCATCTTCAGTTATATGTAAATGCTGAATTGATTTGTCAGGTTCAATTATGGTGTTTTTATCACGTACAAAATGACTTATTGTACATGATTGGTAATCATGCTTTTAACATTATTCAATGTGACTCTTCTAGATTTCACTCTCTCCCAATATAGTCTGGTCATCTCTTTTATGATCTTTCTCTAACTTTTGTTCTTTTACTTTTATTTCATTACCTCTTGCTTCCAGTCTCTCAACTGCCATGCGATCTTCCTGCCTGTACCATCTCACTGTGCTTACTCCCTTCACATTCTTCAGAGACTTTCCAACATTATACATCCATAACCCTTTACTTTTATTAAGTCTCCAAACTCCCATAATTGATTTGTAATTTTCTTTTTCTTAATCTATCATTACTCTAAAACACCAGAGATTCTAATCCAACCACAAGAATTAGTTCAGGCATTCCTTCATATAGGCTACTAACACTCGTTATACTCACAATAAACACACAAGAAGGTGTCAATACTTTCGAGTTACCTCGACTGCAAACGAGGCAGACAAGCGCCAACGCCGGAAAAACGCTGACGCCGCCCCTCCCGCACCAGATGTATCCCCCTACATGTGCAACATCTGGTACCGACCCTACCGGTCCCGTATCGGCCTCTTTAGTCTCCTCAGAACTCACCAACGTAGGTGACATCCTTAATAACTCATACTATTGTATCATAGTTGGATGATCGCCATACTAGATTCCGAGTGACAGCAAAGTAGTAGTTCACAAGAAAATTATCAGAGGTCCCCTTGTTTTCTTCCCGTTATAACACTATTAACAACTTCGGCTTCTCTTTCATCTACTGTATGTTGAAAATCTCTGCAGCTCCCCTAAAATATTAGTGACAATAAAATGAGGACACATAAACTTGCATTGCAAAGGAAAACGAGCCTCAGTTTCTCTTTTTCTTGTATATCCTCTTATTATTGTTTCCTACAAATATCATAATTGATTTTACGATTTTATCCAATTTCCATTCTCATTCTTTCAATAGCATATTAGACCATGCTGATTCAACTAGCTTATTACCATACATTGAAAAATTATCATATCATCCTCATTTTACAGTAGGAACTGTAAGAGACAGAATGACATTCTGGTCACATAGAGAGCTTACATAGACCCGAGCTAGACCGACGTTAGCAAGACAGGAATCCATTGTGTATTGGACTTATTAAATTTAGATTATGTTTGTGACACCATTAACCTTCACCTCCCTTACCTCAGGTGTCCCTCTGGGCTCCGACTCTGCAAGCTTGGTAAAGCTGGCGTCCAACGACTCCTGGAGGCCAGCAAGTACCACAAGAATTTTCCTCTGGAACCAATGTTGAGATTTAACCAAAAAGTGCCATCAGTAGGCGTGTTCTTGGACAATAGTACCAAGGAGGACACTCTGGTAGCCCTGGAGAATATATTACCAGCTGGAGATGAGGATATACCCATCTCCTGGATTGCTTCAGCTAACTACGGAGCCTTGGGCATGCTGAGAACAGAGGAAAGCTACAAAAAGCAAGGCCTAGGAACTCTCGTGACCAGGGCGGCTGCGAGGTTACAGGCAAACCTGGGCTACTTACCTCTTGCCTATGTAGATCTTGACAACAAAGCCTCTCAGGCTATGTTTACTAAAATGCCAGAATTTATCAGCACACACACTATTTCTTGGATGTTCTCAGATACTGCTGAGAATTATTAATCATTTTTACATGGATATTAGAAGTGCAGGAAAATGACCATTTAGTTATAAGGAGGAATGGAATTTGTTATTTCTTATTATCATTAGTTATACTACAGTTAATTTAATCTTATTCTAACTAATAATATTATTAGAATATGTATATATATATATATATATATATATATATATATATATATATATATATATATATATATATATATATATATATATATATATATATATAAGTAAATCACTGTAGGTGCGCGTGATCCAGGTATATGCTGATAACCACAAGGAAAAAAGAAAACACGAAGTTCCCAAGAGATTTCGTGTAATTCAGATCTTCAGGGGTGAGTACAGACTAAAAAATTCATAAGGCATATATATATATATATATATATATATATATATATATATATATATATATATATATATATATATATATATATATATATATATATATATATTTACAAATAAATCACTGGAGGTGCGTGATCAGGTATATGCTAATAACCAGGAAAAGAAAACACGAAGTGTTTTCTTTTTCCTATGTATATATATATATATATATATATATATATATATATATATATATATATATATATATATATATATATGTATATATACACAGTAGAGGAGGCTGAGATCAAGTCCCTTGGGGACAGTGAGTGTCCACAATGGTCCGGTCACTAGGTAGTGACCCTACTAATCTTCATAAGCACCGCAGCAGTCGGTAGTCAGGTCAGATGACCCAACCTTCTCACCTGGTTTGTAATATATATATATATATATATATATATATATATATATATATATATATATATATATATATATATATATATATATATATATATATATATATATATATATGTATATATATATATATATATAATCAACGACCTCACCAGCCAGGACTCGAACCCTCGACCTACTGCGTGTGACCAGGGAACGTTACCGACCATGTCACAAGAACACTAAAAGCAGTCCAGCTCGATGAACAGGCTTTGTGTGAAAGGTAACATAGTCTAGGACTGCTTTTAGTGTCCTTGTTGCATGGTCGGTAACGTTCCCTGGTCACACGCAGTAGGTCGAGGGTTCGAGTCCTGGCTGGTGAGGTCGTTGATTATATGTTCAAAGTCAGCGTGTTATGTGGACTAAAAATGATATATATATATATATATATATATATATATATATATATATATATATATATATATATATATATATATATATATGCTGATAACCACAAGGAAAGAAGAAAACACGAAGTTCCCAAGCGCTTTCGTGTAATTCACATCTTCAGGCGTGAGTGCAGACTAAGGAGAAGTACAAAACAAGGTGTATATATACAGAGGAGGGTGAGATCAGGTCCACAATGGTCAGGAATTAGGTAATGACCCTACTAATCTTTAAAAAGCACCCCAACGTTCGGTAGTCAGGTCAGAGGGTAAGGTGACCCAACCTTCTCACCTGGTTACAAATCTTCTTAATTACAAAATTGTCCAGTTTGTACATGCCATTTCTCAAATTCATGTTAACTGCTTCGTTATGTTTAAAGAGACTAGATTCTATAATGTTCCTACTGTCAATTGAATTACAAGGTAATATTGAGGAGGCATTATCCCAGTCAATGCAATGCTTATTATCCCTCAGATGAAAAAACAGAGAATTGGAGGTGGGATGGTCAAAGTGTTACACTATAAGTGTGTCAAATGAGGAGTGACTGATTCACATGTAATTTAAGGTTTTTGAAATATGTAGTTAAATTTAACACGATTCACTGGGTGGTTTGGAAGTGTTTATTTCCATTCATACTTTCGTAACTACAACCTATGGTAATTTTTCTTCGTGTTCATATATAATGAAGATAATGCCGAGTATAAAATGCCATATACAATATTTACACATAATATCATCTATACAACTGTACTATGACTGTGTGAGTTCGTGCTTGTGTTGCCTTTTGATAGTTAGAATAGGCCGCTGTCCAGAAAGGACACTGTACTAACCTCCAGCACTGACCCAGGTGGGCTAGAAAATATGGTTTCCGACTGTACTTGCATAGTGGACAGGTCTATCTGAATTTCAGTTAATTAAAACCACATGATGACTTGGAGTATTCGAATATATGATCATTGAAATGGTAACAGAATTAGGAAAAGTTTTAAGGATTGTAGACATTTAAATAAGGTGTTGAAACATAGTAAGTGAAGAAATGTAATGAAATATTTAACATAACTTGACTAAAATAGGTAAACATTGGTTTGGAAATAGAGTGGTGGACGACTGGAACAAGTTACCATATATCATCATTAACTCGAATACGCTGGATAGCTTCAAACATAGGTTGGATGCTTATATGAGCAATAGGGGTTGGGTGTAAATGGGACTGCCCAGTATGGGCCAATAGGCCCGCTGCAGTTACCTCCATTCTTATGTTCTTATGTTCTTAAAACTTAATTTTACAAATATGTGTGCTTGTATTGTAAACAGCAAACGACCGCGAGATAGAGATAGGAACAGATGGGTTAAGACAGCTTATTT